TCCCTCCCTCCCCCCAGTTCAAATTCATCCCGAACCAAGATCTCCCCCCTCCCTTCCCCTTAATCACTGATATTCTTCTTACGCCTTCGTGGTGCAAGGGGAGGTTAAGGTGGCTAGGCAAAAGAGATACGGCTTGAGATGTAACAGGTGTAAAAAGAAAAAAAGAAAAACAAAATCGAACCCAGATGCCACCATTATGAGGATTTTATTTGGTGGTCGTATCATTTGCGGACGTCTCCAGTCAGTCACGATTTTCCCCCTTCTGTCTGCACCGCACAGCGACTGCATCTCCTGACGCAGCCAACGCGCACATATTACTCACTATAGCAGTCACGACTCGGATAAAACCGTGTTTCCACTAAAATTACAACGCCAGCATTGACTTAAGAAGATCTTGCTATGTCTGGGATAGGTGTATAGAGAGCCACAGTGTCTTTGAAAAGGTCAAGGTAATGAGTTTTTTCTGCAAAGATCCGCGGTCATTCCTGGACTCGCTACTCTGGCATGTACGGTTTTAAGTATTGTAAATTTTGCTTTTGCATACATGCACATGACCATTTAAACCCTCTGAAACAATTCGAAATATACTGTCTGCGAACGCTTAAGGCAATTATGCACGCTGCAGGATTGAAATTAGACATTTATTAAGAGATGCTTTGATTAAAACAACACTGGCGATCACAACGTGATTGTTTTGCGCAACTGCACAAACGCGTTAGTTTTGGCACAAAACCAGTATTATAGTCCACAGCAATAGAAAACAGTCGATTGCAGTACTGTATAATGAAAATGACGTGGGCGGAAGAGTAATCCACGTGAATCCGCCTATAGCTACACAGTCTCGAGCACATCTGATGGAAGTGTTCAAACAACGCACGCGGGAACATTGCACAAAAAAAACTTAAGCTGCATTTTGAGAACGTGTGCCGAGTGGCATCCCTTTCACAGGTGATGGCCAAAACAGGGCTGACCATTTAAGGGCGATTTTGGATGCACGGAACCCCTTGACGCCACACCAGGGCTTCCCTCGTCGGCTGTTGCTGGTGATTTTCCTTTTGGCGCGGCGTCTTCCACCTATATTTATTAGCCTATTTTCCTCTTCACATATTTTGAGAGATATGTCCCCTCACTCTTCTAGTGTTATCGGTTTCCATTCACACTTTCAGCTGTAGCGAAGAGGCATAAAACGGCTCAACAGCGCCGTCAGACAAAGGAGTTTGGATTTCACTTATTTACCATTCGCGAGATTCCTGGTCTGAAGAGAGAGTGGTTTATTTCATTTTTAACAAGTGGGTGAAAACAACAAAGCACCTGTTTGAGAAGTGCACACAGTATGCGTGAAACAAATGGATTGTGTTTGGTGGAGGAAATGGCACCTTAATGCATGCAAGAAATCGTGCAAGAAATCAAATAAACATGTCAACGAACCAAAGAAATCGTCGCGAATGTGTACTTACCAGTGCAGGAAGCCCTGGCTGAAAGCAGGGAAAACACAGACATGAGTATAAAACCATCCTATGTGACCAAAAACAACAAGCAAGACGACAATCAAATACTGCCCTTGATTCATCTCTATCTTCAGCAACACGTCCAAGTTTTCTCAGAATCGCAGTCCCTTTTTATACAAGTGATACCCTCTGCCTATTTCTGGACCACGATCAAACACTGATGCTATTTTTAGCGCCCAGTAAAAAAAAAAAAAAACACTCACAAAGACATCGCTCAGGAGCGTTACGTGGAGTGCATGTAATGTACATTAATTTTGCCTCTCCAACTCCATGCAAGGGCTCCGACTCGCCTCCGATGCATCGCTGCAGTGATTTTCCCCCCCAAACGAACTGCTTCAGTGCCCCTCTCTCTTATGGGCTAAATATTTCTTAAACGTTCGTTTTCTCAGCACAAGTTGTTCCCGCTGTCCTCGTTCGTTTATGTTGCTCACCATCCTCTTTATTATACGCGTATTACGCGGCGTGTCTCCATGCAACTTTCGCTTGGAAACTCGGGACGGATTCGCTGCTCATAAAGAAAACAGACGCCCGCACGCACACACTCACACTCACACAGACAGACCCGCGCGCGCAAACAACAGTAATCAGTTGCACTGCGAACGAAATATGTTTTGTCTTTACAGCAGTACACAAACGATGATAATTAACACTTGCAGAATCTCTCTTTTTTGAGGGCTGCGTCAGTTACTAGGCATTGACGTCACGTTTAGGTTCTCCCACTTCACAGTCTATGGCTGCTGATTACAACCGTCCCTGTTGTGCTCGCAGACAGCCTCGCGTTAATGAAAATGGCTCGGGCTAAATAGGTGAAAGACGGACAGTGTCCGCGCTGCAAGTGACCACAGCCCCGGTTTCCCAGAGCGAAACCACTCCTTGCAGTCGCCAGGCATCGTGAAAAACTCATTTGGCAATGGATTCCGTGGCAGACGCGCACCACTAGCCTATATATGTTCTTTAAGCCTGGTAGTTGCTTTGCGCTTGTTGGGGTTTTGTTTAGGGAGAGCATTAAGGGAGAAAAGTTGGGGATGCCTTGTTTATATAGAGAAAATTATATAAAATATTTTCGGTCTCAGCTTTAAATCGATGTGATGTTATAAACGACCGTGCAATAGTCACAGAAAGTCTGCGGCTTCTAAAGCTGTCGAATTGCAAAGCATAACACTAAAAGAGAACGTGCAGAACACAAAGTACACTAATTTGACCAGTGCGGTAGAAACATACGGAGGGAAGAAATTGAGCGTCTTGCCGCATGGTGTCGCCAAACTCCATTCGAGAGTTGCTAAAACTAGCGCTGTTCACTTAAAACTGATCTGAAAATCTACTTATAACAGTATTTTACTTTTTGTGTCGTTATGTATTAAATTACTTAATGTGATCATCAAAAACATGGCAAAAGTCACGCAGGTTTTTTTTTTTTTTTTTGCGACTGGGGTGTCGCTGTCCGTGGTGCTGAAATACAGACTCGACTATCGCATCAAGCTTTATGCAGTGTTTTCCCAAGACACTAACTTTAAATACGTTTCATACACGCAATTGGCTGTTTGTACAATATTAAACACACGGAGACAATTTCATCGCTCTGACATGTTAGCTACAAGTGTATGAATGAAGAGAAGCTCCTATTCATGAACAACACGATGTACTGCGATGTGCAGGAATAATCCTACCTTCGCCACACTCGGGATGCTCCGGACTCCTGCTGCTAAAACGGGAGGATCGTGAATGAGCGGGCGGTGACGAGTTGTGTGGGGGGAACTGGAAATAGGTAAATATTTAGATCAAGGACGTAAATATAACATTTGTCATCATGTTTCCCTTAAAATACATCAGTGTTCTGCCAGGAGTGCCACAAGTGGCGGCTTTGATCTGACAATGAAGCTGGACGTTTGCACCCTCCGCTAAATCTAAAAATACCACGATTTCGGCTGTGTGGGCTTGAGCTCGCTCAGAGCTTCTCCTCATTTAACCCACCTTACCTCAAATTTGACAGGGACAGCAGTCTCGAGTCTGTGGTTTGAAAATCACAAACCTGCAAAAAAGAGCAACAATTCATACGTTTTTAAAATATAATTGTTTCATATATAAATAAATGTATTATATAATTATAATTTATGATAAAATTAATATATAACATATCTAATATATAATTAAATTATATATTTTTAAATAAAAGAGGAAATTTAAAAGAAATAATGAAAAATAATATATTTTAATATAAATATATATATATGATTAAGAATCTCCGCCCTTATAGCCCTTTCTCTCTGTTTATTTTTCCGTCTCTCCTGCCTAAATGATGTCAATGGAAGCCGAGCTATAGAGCTATTTATAGAATCTCCCCCTCCCATCAGAATCACATGGTTCAGAGCCGAGGCACAATGACTACCTCAAGAGAAGAGTCTGCATGAATAGAGATGGTGAATATTTATGAACGGGCAAGCTGTCACATGATGTTCCTCCTGCGTAACATGTTAAGAAAGTCAGATCGGGCTTTCATGTGCACATCCTCACCATATCCATAAAGTTCGCCGCCATTTATTCATTCATTACCCCCTTCTGCTAATTTATTTATTCTTCCATTCAAAAGTTAGTTGGGACCGAAACTTCCCGGAAGCACCAAATAGCAAATAACTAACTTGTGTAAGCGAAAACCCGAAGGGTCCTGCCTTGTTTGCATCTCTCAGCTGCTGCTGCTTTGCCCACATCGCATGATCCTTCATGTTTCATCCAGCCTCTTGTCTCCATTCACATACATAGCCCATTACATAACAAGCCTGCGTGAAAGAGAGAAAGGTATTAAAATGTATTTACGGTTAACATAACTTAAACAGCTGACATGTGCAGGGTTAAGCGACACTGATGTGCAACAATTTGATGGAGGGTTATAAGTTATTGAAGACATGTTGCATAGGCTATTAGTCTATTTATAGCATTGTGTGTAGCCACAACAGCCACACGTGTGGAAAACACTTCTTTTGGGTTCCTAGTTGACATGTTAACACTCACTGGTTGCTATATTTAGTAAGCCTGGCAGTGCTGTTACTATTCCAGGCATTGTACATGAGGGGGCGGATGGAAGTCTTTCATGAAAAAGAGCATAGCGTTCTTTATTTGCAGTTCTTCAGCCATACTTGTGTCGCGTGTCTGTGCAAGGTGCGACGACTCGACTTCTGCTGCAGAACAACGCTGCGAACAAATGAATATGTGTTCAAATTAATGGCATTTAGTTGAATGCATCATGTGTGCTTTATTGGGAACTGAACCACTTTGGTTACGATTCTGATTCACGAATGATTCGTTAACTGTTCCATTAATGTTTCTACTTTTGAAGCAGAAACATTGGAGGAAAATTTTGACATAAGAAATGCTATTCTTATCGTGTTTACTCACTTTGGTTGGGCTGTTGCCAAATGATGAGATCATGTCATTTTTCATCAGTACAAACATAACAAATCAGAAATAAATTCAGTGCAGTTCTTGAAAAAGCTGCAGTTGTACAGATTTTTAAGAGGTGGCATAAATAAAAAAATAATATAACCAGTAAATAAATACAAAACAGTAATTGGTTCTAATCATACGTTAAATTAAAAATGTAAGCAAATAAAAAATATTTATTTGTATGCAATACTCAAAATGTTTTTTGTTTAACTATATATGAACAACCAGTCAGTTACTACGACATAAAAACAGTAACAGCTCTTACTGTTTATTCAGTAACTGCTCTGACTGATTCATTAAGTGGTCCCTAAAAATAACCTTATTAGAGTCATTTGTTTGGGAATTGGACTACACTGGTCATGCTGTATGCTTTCTATTCGCCGAAAAGAATCGGTTTATGAGAGGCATTCACTTGGGAATCGGACTACACTGGTCACGCTGTATGTTTTTAATTCACTAAAGAGAACTGATTCATAGGAGTCATTCACTCCGGAATTGGACTACACTGGTCAAGCTAAATGCTTTTAATTTATTAAAAAGTATCATTCTTCTTGGTTAACTATTAAATTATATTTGCTCAGGAATTGGACTACGCTGGTCACGCTGCATGCTTTTAACGCTCTAAAAAATCGGTTCATAAGAGCAATTTGCTCAGGAATTGGACTATGCTGGTCACGCTATATGCTTTTAATTCTCTAAAAATCGGTTCATAAGAGTAATTTGCTCAGGAATTGGACTACGCTGGTCACGCTATATGCTTTTAATTCTCTAAAAATCGGTTCATAAGAGTAATTTGCTCAGGAATTGGACTACGCTGGTCACGCTATATGCTTTTAATTCTCTAAAAATCGGTTCATAAGAGTAATTTGCTCAGGAATTGGACTACGCTGGTCACGCTATATGCTTTTAATTCTCTAAAAATCGGTTCATAAGAGTAATTTGCTCAGGAATTGGACTACGCTGGTCACACTGTATGCTTTTAACTCTCTAAAAATCGGTTCAAAAGAGTCATTTGCTCAGGAATTGGACTACGCTGGTCACGCTATATGCTTTTAATTCTCTAAAAAATCGGTTCATAAGAGTCATTTGCTCAGGAATTGGACTACGCTGGTCACGCTGTATGCTTTTTTTAAATTTAGGCCTACTAAAAAGAATCAGTTTATAAGAGTCATTTGCTCTAGAATCAGACTACACTGATCATGCTGTATGCTTATAAATATCTAAAATGAATTGATTCATAAGTCTTTCATTCGGGAATCGGACTACACTGGTCAAGCTGAGTGCTAATTCACTTAAAATAATCGGTTGAGTCATTTAATTGGAAATCCGTCTACACTGATTTCCTAAGAAGAACCGACTCATTTGAGTCCATCTTTAGAAAATCGCACTACACTGCTCGCGCTATTTATTTTGTAAATAAAAACATAAACGGCTCTTAAAAGTAATTCCTTTAGGAATCGGACTACGCTGTATGTTACGATGAGTATTGGTGTTGTGGTTAATTAATAGCAATGCATGTAACAGTGTCTAGTATTTGAAAGCTTCGCATCGGCGGGAAAAAAATGCACGTTCAAAAACGGATACCGGAACTATAACGTCATGAAAATTATTTGGTTCCGGTATTTTGCTAAATAAGATGTCCTGAAAAGCAAAGATTTTCACTTAACCCAACAGAGTCTTGTGAAACCTCAGGTGACCCGGCTGTATTAAAGTGGCACAGTCGTTAATG